GTGGCCACCACGTCAGCCACATCCGCCAGATCTGCGCCACGCAACTCGCACTTGGGAGAGCCATCCACACAGGCGTAGACCTGCTCCTCCGTGAAGTAGTCCCAGCGCAGCACCTCGAAGCGGGTTTTGGGCTGGAAGGGGGGTGGGATGCCAATGGGCCATGTGGCACCATGGTCCCCGTCAGCGGACAGGCTGCTGGCGTTCTGGATCTCCAGCTGTAAGAGGAGAGATGGAGGAGTGAGAGCCAAGGCAGGCACAAGTAGGTCTTCCAGCTCCGGCAGCAGGCAAGCTGACTCCCAATAGTCAGAGATCAGCCACTCCTGGCCCAAAGAGCAGTGCCAGAACAACTCTGCCTTCAGCCTGACTCCTGGTCAGCACCTCAGGTTTTCTCTGAAGAGCACCCTGAATCTGGCACGTCACCTCCATCAGCAGGATCCACACCCTCTCCCACCCTGCCCGGCCTTTGCTGGTGGACCTCAGCACCCTGCTCTGCTGGCTCCATCATCCTGAACCACCACCACAGCTCCAGGACCCATCCAGGTCCAAAGCTGCTCTCCCACCAGCACTGCTGCCCTTGCAGCCACACGGGCTTGGCCGATCCCATCCCACAGCAGGTTCAGGTGAGAAACTCTCATATTAGAATGAAGAAGTGACACAGAGCAACTAGAAAGCCCACAGACACGATAGGAGGAGCCCAGACCCTCCCAGCCAAGCCAGATCTCACTTGGAGCTGCTGGATCTCCTGGTAGGTCCTCTCAAGCTCCACCTGGGCAAAGTACTTGTGCAGCCGGTACATCTGGAGGGGATCCAGCACAGGGTGGACAGTGAAAGCGTTCTGGAAACGGAGGTCAGTCTCCCGCTCAGGGTCCACGTTCTTCCCCAGCTCAAAATAGTGGTAATGCAGGCCCTGTGCCAGCAAGGAGAGACGGGTCATGGCCAGCCCCGACCTGTGCTCCCAGGTGCCAGCACAGCAAGCTCAAAGCACTACAAGGTGCAAGGGCTGGTCCCCACAGGACCTGGGAGACCACGGGGAGGCGGCCAAACACACTGGGCCAGGATCAGGCTCTCGGAGGCCATCTCCACTGTGGGACCTACCTCGTGCTCCTCGGCACAGTTGACAGCTGTGTAGTCGATGATGCAGCGGCCCAGCCACTCATCAGGCCGGGCACTGAGGATGTCATTGCGGCAGCTCTCCAGGTGCTGCTGCAGGAGTAGGAGGAGGCTGCGGGACAGCAGGTAGCCAAACCCCCCGTAGCAGTAGCGTCCCTCGGTGTCCCCGCCGATGAACTCTGCGGGACGGCCCAGGTAGAGGTGGGTGTCAATGCTGAGGTGGGCGACCAGGCGGCTGATGCGGTGTGCCTCTGTGTAGGTATCGTCCTGCACCAGGAAGAACCAGTCAAAGTCGTTCACGTAGTGGTCCAGAAGGTACCTGATGGTCTGGTACATGTTCCAGATGGGCCGCTCATCACTGTGTGTCACCACCGTCATGCCGTGGGGCACCTTGCGGCCCCGCATGCCTGTGAAGTACACCAGGCGTTCCAGGCGGTGGGCCAGTGTGCGGTTGACAGCCACCCCCAGCGTGTTCAGCGTGCTCTTGGAGGTCAGCACACCCACGAAGAGCCGCTGCCGCATCCCCAGCTCTGTGCTGATGTACCGGGTCCTGCAGGAGGGAGAGAACATCTGGCTTCAGAGGACTGCATCCCACCTTGGCCTCCACCCTCCCTGTCCCCGCCA